AGTACATGTTTTACCACTGAACTATGTCTCCAGTCACTGACACATTTTTTTCAGAAGATAATTCAGGGAGATGTTTGCAGCTGGCAGAAGATGCCAACTGTCAGATTCAGTGACTCCAAGGAATATTAGGCAAGGTTGTCAGAGCCCAAGGAAACTTCACTTCCCCAGATTCTGGCAGAAGCAAGCATTCCTCAGGAACTCAAGAAGCTGGTTCACCTGCACCAAACTAGCCAGTTCACTTATCACCAGCAGAAGGGACCAATGGCTGTCCCTGGCACCTAGCATACCAAAGCCCATGCTTGCCTCCGGGTCCCTCAGTACCACAAGTTCCTGTTACACATTTCAAAGTTCATGCTCGCATCCTGGCTTTTCTCACCCAGCTCCTTACCCTAAACTTCCCCCAGGTCACGGGTTTCCCCGCCCCCTCTCCTCATTGTCCTTATAGTCCTGCTATTTTGGCTATACTCCCTTTTTTTGCCCCTCTCTCTTGTTCCTCTTCTTTCTTTGTCTCCCTCTCTCGCTCTTCCCCCTTCTCTCTCCTCTCCTGGCCAGGCCCAATCTGCTGGCCATGTTCAGTCTACTACTTTCTCTCCCTTCTCTGGACTCTTCTAGATGCTTCTGGATGTTTTCTCTCTCATATCTGCAATGAAAACCTGCCCCTCAACCATGCCTTGGAGGGGTCATGTCTTCAGTTTATATAAAAGTAAATAAAAAGAAAGCTATACCTATAGATATATTTAAACAAAGAGAAGCATCTGGGGAAAAAAAAGAACATCCAAAAGTAGCCTGATGATGATGATAATGATAATTAATAATAATAATAATAATAATAAAATCCTTCCAAAGATTAACAACTAACAACTAGATTAGCAACTTCTCTCTCTAAATCGAGAGTGGAAGTAAAGAAAGAGACTTGTATCTTGAAAGTACAAAAAGAGCCGGGCGGTGGTGGTGCACGCCTTTAATCCCAGCACTCGGGAGGCAGAGGCAGGCGGATTTCTGTGAGTTCAAGGCCAGCCTGGGCTACCAAGTGAGTTCCAGGAAAGGCGCAAAGCTACACAGAGAAACCCTGTCTCGAAAAACAAAAACAAAAAAAAAAAAAAAAAAAAAAAAAAAGGAAAGTACAAAAAGAAACACGGGTAAAATAAAGACATTGCCAGCAAAGTCAGACCCAACTAGCAATATATTCTCCGTAAAACACTGCCTTAAAAGGTTCATCACTGCAGCAAACACCTGCACAATTTCAAAGAAGTCAAGACTTCGCTTCCTCAGGCTCTGGAGAGGAAGATAACTCCATGTGCTGGAGCAGCTGCTCACCTCAGGGCAGTCAGTAAGCAGAATAGTCTGTTAGCTGGCTGCCTCCTCTTGCCTCTTTTTGTTCCATACAGGCTCCAGACTTCCTGGACACGTTGTCCACATTCAGGGTTGGCTTTTACCCTTAGTCAACCATCCTCAAAAACACCTCAAGATGCACCCCAGATGTGTGCTCTACTAATCTGTTAGGTATGTCTCAATCTAATCAAGCAGCCAACTAGATTCACATCGCAAAAATGTCTAGACTATTGTCTTCTAGCAGGAAAACATCCCAGAGGAATATCTCAAACCTGAAAAAGAAATGGCGAGTCAAAAAAACCTGTAAGCACACAGCTAAACCTAAGCAGTCACTGATTACATGAAATAACAAAAGCCAACAATGCCCATTTTCTGTAAGTATAAAAATAAGACATAACTGAAATGTTGACTAAAAATAGCATTAAAATGGGAAAGAGACAATAAGGATAACGATTTCAAGAGTCCACAGTATAAAGAGAAAGTAAACCCTGGATTTAAGTTGAGACCTGGTCAATGAAATATGCACATTAAAGTTTCTAAAATAACTAGTAAATACAGAGAAATCGAATATATAATCTCCAAACTAGTAGCAAGGAAGGAAATGGAACATGGAGTGAGGGGTGGGAGATTCTAAATTCACAAGTCACAGAGAACTAACTAAAGAGCGTGCACTTTGACATACATGCAGAATCAAACACCGTTTGTGGGGAGATGACTTTTTTGTGGAAATAAAAATAAAAGCAAAGAAATGATTAACACAAAGTTCACAATGGCCTATACTTGGAGAGGGAAGAGGAAGGCCCCCCTCGAGGAGTTGGTTAAGTCAATAAAGGAAGCAGATGGCACCTTCAACTTGATTTCACAACAAAAGGGAGCCGCACTGTGTAGGAAAAGTCAACAATGGCCGAGGACAACTGGAAGGCCAAAGTAGCTGGGGTCAGCATCCTTGCTGCTGCAACCCCAAAGCACCATGTGGGAAGCGCAGGGAAGTGTGGAGAGCGAAAGGGGAAGGTCACAGAGCACCTGTTTTCTCTTCGTGTGTGTGGTGTGGTAGTGTGTCTTTGTACGTGTGCATGTCTGTGTGCTGCGTCTTTGTGTGAGTGCATTTGAGTGACTGTATATGTGCATATGTGTGCACCCACTGTCTTCCTCTATCACTTTATATCTAACTTTTCGATAGAGAGTCTCTCTCTCCTTAAACCTAAAGCTCGCCAGTGTGGCTAGACGAGCTGGCCAGTCACTCCGGGGCTCCCACCTTTCTATGCCTGGCCTTCTAGCACCTCCCCAGCACTGAGCTTACAGACAGGCACGCTGTACCCAGATTTAACGTGGGTACCGAGATCTGAACTCAAGCCTTCATCCCTGTGTATTTTCCACACTGAGTTCCCTCCCCAGACCCCTCAAGTTTTCTCAACCAAGGTCACTGCATTCTCCTTAAAATAGTAAAAGTTGGTTATTTTTACAGGTCTATATGCCTGGTGTATTTTACATTAAGAAATTATAACAATGTTTAAAGATCGCTTTCCGAATGTTTCAAAACAGAAATGAAGAGTAAGGAAAGTAAGAAACATAAATAACAAGATCAGCCTTCTTTTCATCTATTGTTATCCATCTTCTTTATTTCTACTTATTTCCTGGGTACAGAGACACTTGTCTGTAAGTCCAGTACTGGGGGGAGGTGGGTAGAAAGGTGGGGCTCTTAAGAGGTGATTAGGTCATAGGGTTGTGGCCCTCCAAAATGAGATTCATGCCATTGAAAAAGAGTTTTTCAGCCCATCTATGCAGAGGGATGCAGTATCCTTGACCATGGAAGTAGGCCTTCACCAGGGAGGCAACCTACTGCTTCTCCCCTGGCATCAGAACTGGCCACGAAGAAGAAACTAGTCCTTCCTCACTCCTTGAACACACTAGGTCTGCACCGAGGCTTTGTCCCATCTCCCAGGTACACACAGTGAGCTCAGGGGAGCAAGTTTGCTGTCTAGACAGATAACAAGAAGGACCAGCCTAACTTTAAGGACTTCTGAACTCATCCATTGTTGCCTTGTGTACCCTGGCACCGAATGGATTGAGGCAGGTATGTGCATGGGGAAAGTTAGTTACTCTCATGGGTTTATAATTGGAATAGAGGTCTATCACAAAAGACAGAGGAAGAAGAAGAATGTAAACAGAAGTTTATTATATGCATATTTCAGATATATATGAAATTCACCCAGGAAATAAGTAAGCCTCAAAGTGGTTATTCTAGTGTATTATGTTTTTGTATTTAAAATTTACAAACATAATTGTTTATCATAATGAAACATCCTTGTTCCTCATAATGAGCTTGGTAATGAGTCAGTCCAGGTCAGTTCACAAACATCTGCCTATTTGGCAGTCTCTAAGCCAAATCAGAGGCACATATATAGGACTTCCAGCTTCAGAACTGTAAGGGGAAAAAATATGCTATAAGCAATCAGTTATAGTATTTTAATACAGAGCCTCAAAAAGACTGAGATGGTCTCATTGTTGTTGAGTTCAAGACCACCGGGAAAGACCTACAGACTCAATTCAGATGATAACTAACCAATTTTGTTAAAAATGCCAGCAGGGCTGCAGTCTCTAAGCCAAATCAGAGACTTGCTGCTCTGAAGAAGCCGAAGGAAGGCTTTCATTTTTAAGTCAAAAACCACCATTACTTCATTTCTGCAGAATTCACAGCTACATGAGCAACTGATTGATTTACTCCCCCTGCCCACAGCGGAAAAAGCCAGTTTACAGAAGCCAGAGCAAGCAGTTCATCAGTCCACAACAGTCACACCATTCTGGGAAGGGGGGCAAGGAGTCAAGGTTGTCTTGTCTTTCAGGAATTTAGGCCAGAGGCAAACAGTAACTAAAATTGGTACCTAATACAAAATGGGGTTTCCTTAGCCATCCGAACATGGCTGATTGCATCTTCCATCGGCACAGTGCACAGGGTTGGGGAGAAGCTGCAAGCACTCAAAGCGTGTCCCCAGTGGCATGCTGCCTCTAGGAAGGCTGCGCCTCATAAAGGTTTTATCACCTCCCTAAAGAGCACCCAACTGAGGACCAAGTGTTCAAGTACGCGTGCTTATGGGGGACATTTCTCGTTAGCGCTGCTTAGAGGTGGGAATACGCACTAAATGCCACAGACCCTTGCTGGTTCCTCCACCACATTCTCTGAACGGTGGTTCTGAACAGCCCCACTCACCTCCCCAACAAACTTCTGCAGAGTCACCTGAACTCCACAGAAACCTTTTTTAGGTCAGCATCCAAAAATGCCAATGTTAAGCTTCAGTCAGTGATGACAACTTTAGAATTACACTAATGATCACCCCCAGGGTTTAGTGCCTGGTGATTTTTAAGGCTAAAACCCCAAACACTTACTAAATGGGATTGGATAATATTTTACTTAAATTTTTTAAAAAAAAAAAATACAGGTACTTTAAACTTTTTTTTTTTTTTGGTTTTTTTTTTTTTTGGTTTTTTTCGAGAGACAGGGTTTCTCTGTGTAGCTTTGCGCCTTTCCTGGAGCTCACTTGGTAGCCCAGGCTGGCCTC